AATACTTGACAATATTTGCAAATACTTCCCTGAACAGTGAAGTCAATATCTGAAGATACTGTATTATTTGATCTTTTAACTACTTGGATTCAGTAGCTCTACACACAAATCTTCTTTGTTTAGTGAGAGATGACATCTGAACACAATGGTTTAATCTATTTGCCTCCACAGAGTCAACTGCATATACTTCACAGAGCTATGTCAGAAACTGTTCATCTATTACTTGAAGCAAGTGTGTGTACTTGGTGTAATGTTAAGGCAGAAACTCATATAATTTTAAAATTCCATCTGAAGTTATCCAACAAGAGCTAATATTAATTTTTAATAAAAAATATTTGTCTTTGAGTGTTTTGCCTGCATGTATGTCTGTGCACTGTGTGTACATGCCTTCTGTCAGTGAGGCCAAAAGAAGGCCTCGGATTCCTTGAAACTGGGGAAATCAATAGTTGGATAGTCATGAGCTGCCATGTGGTTGTTGGGATTTGAACCCTGCTCATCTAGAAAAGCAGCAAGGACTCTTAACCTTTAAGCCATCTCTCCAGTCCCAATGTTAATTTTCTAATGAAGTGTTTGTTACATCTTTACTTGTTTGCATTCTCTGGAGACCATATGGAAAACATTTAAATATTAAAGTAATCTTTTTCATCGAAGGAAATACTTTAAATAATATCAACCTGGTTATGCAGGAAGAATCAGTTTTACATAATTTTATCTCTTAGGAAAACCAAACATCTACACCTTTTCCTTATCCACATTCTATTAACTCTTTCAAATCCATTAAACCAAACTCGCTGCAAAAGTGCACAATAAGAAACAATTTTAACACTGGGATGAAATAGTACTCAGAATAATAGTGAAACTTCACAAACATGCTACCGAATTCAGCTTTTTAAACAGAGATTCTTTCTTCTCAAAGTGAATGTAACTTGCATTTCGTTCATATCATCGGCACTGAAAAACACAATGCTCAATGTTCTGTGACTGCCTATTGATTTTATACTTGAAAGTTGCTAACAAAGACATATTTTTTATAAAGGCTTGAAATACCAACTATGACATACTCTTTGGATAGAACAGCTAAACATGTTGTTGTAATCTCTATTTTTCTACAAAGTAGAAAAGACCTCGGTCTTAATACCATCAATAAATCTACTACTACCTATGCATTTTAATTTGCAGTTAAAATTAAGTGCATAAACAGTATAGTGTAATAAATGCTTTTTGGAGAACCAATCAGTTCAAAAACAATCTATGTATTCTCAATAACAAGCTATCACAAAGTAACTCAAACCAGGCAACTAGGACAACACCATTAGACATGCCAACGTGAACAGGGAAACGCCTACAAAGCCTCAGCCCTATAGAAAGAGATACAGGCAACTGAGGAAAGCTGGAAGCAGGCAGGAGAGGTGGTCTTCTCTATGGACAATAACACCAGGAGGTTGTCCAAGGTCAAATGGACAGTCCTGAAAAAGAAACATACAACCAACATCCATACTGAGCAGTTTATATAAAGGAATATATATGTATATGTAGTTGCTGCCATCTGTAACCTCCTGTTTTTCCACCCATCCTCTTTGTTTTCCAAAATAATGACTCTTAGACTTCTTATATATGAATAAATGCCTAGACCAATAACTTAGGCATGTTCCATGACTAGCTCATAACATAATTATCTGTTTATTCTGTTCTATGTCATGGCACATGGCTGGTTACCTGGTCCTCAGTTTCGTATGACTGTCTTCCTCTGTCTCCGGGGAGAATCTCCTTCCTGTGCCTTCCTCTGTCCTAGAATCTCTCCCCCCCCCCGACACACACACACACTCCCACCTTCTCTCTGCCAGAACTCCCACCTGCTATTTCCTGCCTCAGCTCATTGGCCATAGGCTTTTTTATTGACAGGTGAATGCTTTGACATAGTGCACAAGAGATTATCTTTAAACATATATTCACATATATGCTTGAAAAAATTATCATTGAAAGAAGAGGACGTGAATTTGAAAAAGAGTGGAGAGGGGTCTATCAGAGGGTTCAAAGGAAGAGAAGGAGAGAAATGCTGTAGTTGTTATTGTATTCTCAAAGTTAAAAAATAGTCAAATAACCATGCCTTAGGGGAGCTTTCTGAGACTATCAGATCTCTGCACCCAACTGGATTGGATTTCCAATGATCACAGTTAAAATAAATATTAAAAACACTATACATGTAGTAAGAGTTTTGTCAGAAAGTATTTTTATCATACCAGTAAACGATAACTAATTCCCTGATTAAAACTCACGCTCGATTTCTATAGAAAGAAATCAACCTGCTACATTTAGTGGCCAACAATATTATCAATAGTTATAAATGTCAGTGAAAGTAATGAGTCTGCAAATCAGCCAACTTTTATTACCATCCACTAATTCAGTATGTTGCAGGGATGAAATAGCCCTATAAGGAATTGCTCTAGAGATAGGTAACCCTATCAAGGTTGGTTCAGTTTTTGTTGATTTGTAAATTAAGCATGAAATGCAACACTTTACCAGAAAGCAGACAGCCCACATGTTAAATTATTTTAGGTAGTTTCTCCCTCATCACTCCCATGCAATCTAACCATAAAAATAGTGTCTTTCACAACTCTCCTTATTCAACATTTTGCCTTCAATGTAAAGTTAGATCTGAGCCTGCAACTCTGATCAAGGGATGCAAGAAGAAAAGGAAAATTAATAATTATTAAACTCATTGAACCAGGAGGAGCGATCAGTATTATAAGGCCATGACTACAGAGTATTTTATAGTGATGGATTATTAAAATTAAAATATATCTTTCCAGGAAATCAGCTGCAAGATGCTTGCAGATGATTTTGAGAATATGTTCACTTTCATTTTTATTTTTATATAATCCTATTGTCTTATATCAGCCCATGACTATAGATAATAAGAATTTACTAAGGGAACATAATTGTGCACTTCAAGGAAAACTTGATACTTTCATGAAACCAGTTACTTTTACAGCTAAGAAAATCTCTATACTACTAAATCTGATGCTAGCAAACCTTTGTAATGAAGAATTTGACTCCAGCTTCCTATGTTTAAATCCCAAGTAGCTGCACATGCAGATCTTCTTACCTAACCCTGAGTGGACTTTTCACTCTTACATCCTTTCCTCACAAAAGGCATATAGAAATGCAATATCCTTGTCTTCTGCACGGCTGCATTGCAAGCCTTGTGTCTTCCTCCATAAGCGCTATCAACTCTCTTTCTCTTTCTACTTCCTTTCATCATCTGTTGAAAGTTAAATTCCAAGTCATTGAGGGGAACTGCAGGGAAAGTCTAGACAATTGTAGATAATTATACCAACATTCCCCAGCTACAACACTTCTTACTTTTCCTGCTCTCTAACATTAACCTGACTGGCCATAAGAAATCTGTATGCTAATATATTCAATTATGTATAATACATAAAATTAAAATCTATTCTTATATTTGCACATAGTAAGGGTCCATATCTAAGGCCACCCACAATGCTTGCACCCCTGCCACTTGGCAAGCATTTCTCTGATAGCTTCATACTTTACATCCGGAGTGCAATACAATTTCTTATTTCCCAGCATATAAAATTGCTCCTCTCTGCCCATTCGATTTGCAGATTCAAAACCCATAAATGGAAACCATTTTCTGAGTCTCTGAACTTTAGCCTGCCCTTATTCTTCTCTTCAGTGATGCAGGTTATCTGGGATATCTCCAGAGAAAGCTTTGTACAATCTTAATTATCATGAATAAATAATAAAGGAAAGGTAATAAATTATTAAATATGTTAATTAAGACGTCATACAACATTTCTCTTATTATGTTGCAGAGAGTGGCTACACGGCTGCCTCTAAGTGAAGGGCAGGGAATTAAGACAAAGCTTGAAAACGAATGTCTTTGCTTACTAATTGGAAACTTGTATTGAGGGAATTATTGTAGCATACCACACAGTATTGATAAGCATAACAAAAGTAATCTAAACTCTCTAAGAATAATCTTAAATCTATCTTTAATGAACTATTTTCGAAGATAAGCCTAAAGTAAGGGGAAACTCTTACACTGCAAAACATAGTTTCACTCAAATAGTACTAAAATAAGAGAGTTTTATAAAATACATTATTGTAATCTTTTTTTAAAAAGATTTATTTATTTATTTACTTTTTTTATTTATTTATTTTATATGAGTGGTCTGCCTACATGTACGCCTGCACACCAGAAGAGGACATCAGTTCCCACTACAGATGGTGATGAGCCACTATTTGGGAATTGAACTCAGGACTTGTAGAAGAGCAACCAGTGCTCTTAACCGCGGAATCATCTCTCCAGCCTGCATTAGTATTATCTTATAGTAGAGTCCTTTATTAAGTTAATGTTTATTTAGAAAGACAAAAATTAATATCTTATTTAAAAATTTCTCTGAAAGTATAAACTTCTAAACACATAGGTTACATTTTAGCACCTAAAGTATTATATTTTTTTTTTCTGGAAGAAAGAGAAAATTTGAGGATTAAAAAAATAATTCTAAAGATCTTGTCTCCTTCAAGAGTAAATTATTAACTTTATGTCATCATGTTTTCTTGTTATCTTAGTCAGAATTTATAATGAAGGTTATCTGACATCACTCATTGTGCCTCTGTGCTCAACTATTGTAAATTCTGGATATTAAAAGGCTTTTCACTAGATTCTAATTTATTAGTCTATATATTCATCAATACTATCAAGTTTTAGATGTACAATTCCAAAGTAAAATAACAGCAAGAACTCAAAAGGTGAGTATAAAAAGCATGAGGAGCCTGTGCTATGTACCTGCAAAATATCAAAGCATTTTGACAGTGTATGCTATGGTTCTGTTCTAGACTTGAAAAAATATGGAAAACATATTGATTCCTTCCTTAAGATATTTCCTGAAGACTTGTGCTGTATGCTTAGAGAAAACTGAGGAAATACATTTCTGCACAATAAAACCACTCTAATAAATCTGTCATGTTTGTAGTTAATTTTTGAAGGTATTCGAGGTCCTGGGATAGAAGGTGACATTGCCATTGATGATGTATCCATTGCTGAAGGAGAGTGTGCAAAACAAGACCTACCCACTAAGAGTAAGTGTTTCTCTTCTTGAGTCTCACTCCATGATACAAGTATTAGAGTACAGTGTTTCCATTTCATAGAAAATACTTAGTTTTAGTTATTTCTGACTAAACCATTCAGTGTATGCCTAAGTCAAATAGCTAGTGCAATGTGGCCATATTCTCAGTAACAAAATGATAGTAATTTCTACTTAATTCTATGTAAGGCTAATGTACTGTGACTTTAAAAACAGATTTTTTTCTTTATTCTTTTCTTTTTTATTTATTAGATATTTTATTTATTTACATTTCAGATGTTATCCTCTTTCCCCACTTCCCCATCCCCCAGAAACTCCCCTAACCCATCCCCCTCCTCCTGCTTCTATGAGGGTGTACCCCCACCCACCCATCCACTCCCACCTCCCCACCCTTGAATTCCCTGACACTGTGGCATCCAGCTTTCAAACCAAGGCCCTCCTCTCCCACTGATGCCCAACATGGCCATCCACCACATACACAGCTGGAGCCATGAGTAGTCCCTCCCTGTGTGCTCCCAGGCTGGAGGTTTAGACCCTGAGGGCTCTGGTTGGTTGGTTGGTATTGTGGCTCTCCCCATGAGACCACAACACCCTTCAGCTCCTTCAGTCTTCTCTTTAACTCCCCCATTGGAAACCCCTTGATCAGTTCAGTGGTTAGCTGCGAGTCTCCACCTCTTAAAAACAGATTTAAAATTATATTAATTTATGCTGTTTTGTCAGGGGTTGGAAAACATTTATTAAAATATTTGGCAAATCTACACACATAATAGTCACTTATGTACCAAAGGTGCTTTTAAACTCCAAATAGTTGAAATATGGATTTCCTAGAGCTAATATTGTTCTTATGACAGATGTAGTTATATGGAAATTTAGAATGTGTAGTTAGTAATGGGGTAGCCCTGTTTACTCTGGATTAATCGACTTCATATCTACCCCCACAATCTTGTGAATTAATTTTATTTTCATCTAAGAACAGTTTAGATATTATACATTAATGACGTCTTCAAATTTCAACTTTTTTTCAGGCTCGTTCTTAAATAAATATGAAATGATATTTAAAAAGTATTCTGGGTCCCTAAATCTTTGTCTCACATTATCCATTGGAAACATGTATTCAGAATCACTGTTGGAATGCATTTTGACTTCAGCATTCGTATCTGGAAACTTTAACTCTATGGTCGCACAATGAGGGAGTAATCAAGCTAAATTTCCACAAATAATTCGTCAATAATTTAGTATATTCAGATTGTATCGAAATTCTATGTTGCTAAAGGGCTTTATGTACCAGAGCCCTTCAACTCAATATATTTTGGAAAAATTATTACAATCTAGATATTTAAAGTCAAGTATGCAGCTACAGCTTAATGGATCTAATTAACACCATTATTTAGCATTGTTCAAAATTTAAAAAAAAAAAAGCAGCCATGGACTGTGGTAGCTCGTGATAATGCTTAGCATTCAAAATACAGATTTTGTTAAAACTTCCTGGATTTTCATTTCAGGAAAGGCACAGCCGTACCCATGAAAACACAGTCTGCCCAAAACACAGAGAACCATGTATCCTCTTCAGAGACTATGGAGTTTCTCACAGCTTACTTGCAGTGATGCTAACCTTGCACTAAATGAAGTTGGATACGAAGTTTATGTTTTTCTATTTTAATCAAAATTTTAAATAAGTTAAATTTGATAAAATGAAGAAAACTTTCCAAATGGGGAAAACAAAAAAAGAGAAAGCAGGAGTGAGAGTAGCCATAGGCTGTAAAAGTCTACCAGGCTCTCCTTGTCAGGTTCGAGAACATACTCATGTATAGGATTTTTAAATTAGTAAACACACAGCAGTATATGTCTGCCATATTCATAACTGCGTATCCAGGCTGTTTCCTCCTTCTGCTTGCCTTAAAAATAAAGGTGGTATCTAAAGCGTAGTTTTTTTTCAAAATTATTCTCCATGTATTACATTTCCTTAGTTCAGAAAAGCTGCATGAGTAGCTACCTGGGATGTTTATGACCTTAATGTCAGTTTTGGGTACTTATCTTCTTTATCTCTAGATTCCGTGGATGGTGCTGTTGGGATCTTAGTTCATATATGGCTTTTTCCAGTTATCATCCTCATCTCTATCCTAAGCCCTCGAAGGTGACCTTATCCTGGCAGAGGCTATAAATGATTCACCAGGCACTGGCATGAAGAAAGAGTCTTTGTAAATGGACACTAAAAAAAAAAAAAACAAACTACCAAAGATTCCTCCACTGACTACTGACTCAAAAATTAAATAATAAAAACAACATTTTTTAAGCACTGGGGATAAAAAAAAAGACATCATGGAAATATAACTTATTCCAAACTACATATAGAAGATATTCTTGGCCTGGGTACAAAAAAGCCCTTCAGGTGCTTTTGTGGCTAAAATGATTACAGCTTCATCTGGTTGAACTCTGGAAAAAGAAAATAAAAGAAAAAGAAAGAAAGAAAAAGAAGAAGAAAAAGAGCTATAGAAATCCTCGTCAAAGCACAAAGTCATGGCTGGTTTTGTTTCAAATGAATAGTTTGCTTGTTACCATGGAAACCTAATGGCCTGCCAACAAAAACCTCACTGTAAACAGGGTACGTGGAGAGCTGGCATTTATTTTCCTTTCAAGAAGGTTTTATGTAGAGAATTAAATAAATGTAGGCCCTTTTACCTTTGGCTGTTACCCTTCCTTGAAAACACTCCAAACTCGGAATTATTTAAAGGTTTCATATCCCTTCCCGCCTTACCCCACCCCACTTTTACTGTTGTTTGGGTTTTTGTTGTTGTTGTTGTTGTTGTTGTTACTGTTTGTTATAGTTCTTTTCTGTTTTCCTTTTTCTTTTTCTTTCTCCCTCATATGGCTAAGCTAGATAACTGTATGATGTCTCTTTTTGCATGCACTACTATCCAGGATGGTAAACCTGGGCTTACATATTACACAGGCTTATCGGAGTTTGCTTGCGGCCACTTGACACCCAAACTACGTCATCTGTTCCTATGAAGAAACCAAACCACCATCTTTTATAAATTGCCATGGAAACCAAGTGCCTTCAATGAAACAAGCCTGAATAATTTTCAACTCAGAAGCTTGCACTGCTAACAATGGTTTGTGTAAAACTATTTTGTAAACAGACGACACAGCCTAAATGTGCAAATTACAGGCAAGACACCCTAGCCGCTTCTGAAGAAGAAAGGACCCACGCTGCTGCGTAAACCCATGCAGACAAGATTATTTGTTTCACCTCCTAGACAGCCATGGCCTTTCGGCTTAGTGTCCATAGAAAGTAACTTCCATTGAAACCAGACATGGGAGCAACACTTTTTTCTTCCAGGTTATTAAATGGGTCAACCAGAGCAAAAGGTTGTTGAGATAATACTTAGCGCAGAAGGTGGTAAAACACAGAAGTGATTTTTTTACTCTAACCTCCATTTCAAATGAGATTGGCTTTGCCTTTAGAGGGAACAAGGAAATGTTTGAGATTGCCGTGCATACAAACTCTGCCGCGGAACTGGGCCTGAAAAAAATCTGGCTTTATTCTAAACACTGAGGGTAATATGCCTCTGCCCTTTAGTCAGACTCTGTGCAAATTGTGAAATATTATTTTATTATTTTAACAAGATTAAAAAAAACACTTTTACAAAAAAACAAAAACCTGTAAAAATGATTTTGAGCTACCTGAAGACAAAGCATAACTTTAACCAGCCAGTTTTCCAATGCATTGTAAATTTCACTTAAACACGTTGGTTCTGACAATTTGAAGATCTTTTTCCTTAAATTATCTCAGCTTTTAACTTCATTTAAAAAGACTTTTGTCTAAAGAAGAATATTATTATTATCTGTTCTTTCGACACCCCAGGATTTAAAAAAAATATTGATTATGCAAGTAATTGGGATCTAAGAATTAAATTGCAGCATTTGCAAATATTAATATAAAAAGCACAACAAAATGTAGTGAAATGACAAAGCTTGATTTTTTTTTTAAAAAACAACTGTAGAAATGTTTGTGCAAATTCAATAATTCAACTTAAAATATAATTTTACAGCTCTGTTCAATAAAGCCTCTTTCCAGGTAAGGTATGATAAGCAGTATGTGTGTTTGTTGGGCAATATTCACTTATCATTAAAATGAGATTAGTTATGCAACTTTTTGGTTATATTATCTTGGGATAAATTTTCAGTGCTTCATACACAATTAATATCTGCAGAAACAAATTTTAAAAGAACACACAATGCATTCTCTTTTGTTTGTTAAACATGTAAGGAAAAATAAAATGTCATACCTCTGTAGGTATAATACAAACCGAAATGCAAGTTGAAATTTATTGTAAAAAATAAATTCAGCTCCAAGGGGGACATACAAGAATATCTATATAGTGATAGAATCAAAATAACCCATGTCACTTAAATCACACAAAGGAAGCAAATGATTATTATAACTTATTTGAGTTAATTAGTCATATTGAACATTTTTCACAATTTCAAAGTCATCCATCTATTCTATCAAACCAAAGATTTGTAGTAGGTAATAGCTGGGCACTTAGCATGTGAAAGATCTGCATCCACCCGCATTTCCACCATATTCCCACCCAACACAGCTCTGCGCTACCCAAGATGAGTCAAACACATGTTTATTTTATTATTTTTTGCATTCTCTCTGCCAGGACACCAATAGATGTCTTCTGTTTAAAGGGAGGCTCAATTTGTCATCTTCTTTCAATTATCTTTAAGCTGATTTGAGTGAGGCTTTCGCAAATGAACTTAAAGGAAAAAGACCCCTAAATACTGAATATTGGAAGGCCAATACATGTCATTTCAAGAAGATTACAGGGTTTTCGTTTTTGATTTTTTGGTTTTTTCCTTCTCAGTTATACCGAGCAAAGAAACTACTGTGGGTGAAAGTTTCAATTGTATCGTTAAGCATTTATCGAGCATTAAAATCTTTCCTGAATTTTCATATAGTAAGAGAACACATTCCGAAGTTAAAGAGAACTGGCTGGTACTTAAAAAATTAATTTTTATTAAGCTTCTAAGAAGTTGCAGATGGTTGTGAAAAACAAAGGGCAATCAGAGGTGAAAGCAGACAGGCTAGTGAGGTGGTGAGAAACAGGATTTCTCACATAAGATTTACATCATTTAGATATGCCAAACCAACAGAATCAGTGTTTTTACATCAGATCAAATGCTCAGTTGCTTCAACGAAAGTAAAGAGTTGGAAATGTGAAAAATTTTAAATGATTTGGATAAATGAACCAGAAACTTTGTGAAATCACCTTATCTTTAATAGATGTAATGATCGTGGAACCCCTAAAACACCTTCCCATTCCTAACATTGTCATGTTTATCAGAACTGGACCCAATGACACGTTCCCCTTACCATTTTGCTAATGTGTCAGCCTATAATTTGAGAAGCCTGTTGGGTTCGTGGTTTTTTTTGTTTGTTTGTTTTGGGGGTTTTTTTGTTTTGTTTTTTGTTTTTAATGGGGAAACATTTAGCGATCAGGGTTTTATTTTCTGGGAGAAATTACACGCTATGTAATCTCCAGTTATTGACAATAACTGATCCCCACTAGTTAGGAGTGGTACCACTGTCATCAGTTAACTGATGTTTCTTCAGGTTAACATTTTTACAGCTGGGCCTGTTTTCGTTGCAGTCAGCATCATTATCATGTAGTGAGATGAACATGCACACAAGAGCTGAGAGGACCTGAGTACGAACATATAACACTTTGAGGAAAGTTGCCAGAAGTGTCAAACAATGCTAAATAGTTAAAAATGAGAAAAATATTGCCCAATCACACTTATCGGGTGTATAAATAATCACAGACTATGCAGTTTTGAGAAAAAAATAACCTACTTACCTTTTCTTTCTTTTCTTTCTTACCTTCCTTTCCTTTAAAATATTTTTTTAAAGATGCATTACATACATACCTACCCATCCTTTTCCATTTCCTACCTATTTTCCTGTTATGTGTTTTTATAGTTCCATCATGGATTATATGTATTTTTAGTCTGCTGTGGTCTCTGGTTCCATGGGGCTTGTTATATTCAACAGATCATGAGTTTGGCCCATGATTATATTCCTCTAAGAGAACTGATGAATGCTTGGTTACAATGTCAGGCAGTGGACCTTGACACTAATGGCACTTCACATTTCCCACAGAATTGGCTCAGCATAGCAATGGATTCTATCTAAATTAGAACCTAACCAGTCTGTTATACTATGTAATATACAATGAAAATAATTTCATTCTTTACTTGGACATATGATAAAATATAAATGACAGCTGTACTAACTTTTCACCAAACATGCAATCTTATTTTCAATATTTTATAATAATAAACTTATCTGCCAACGAAATGTGTAATTTGAATAATAATTAATTCATTTATTTCTATACTTAAGACTATAAACGTGACTGTGGTATGACTCAGAATCATTTTAATTTTGTGTTTCTCTTGGTAATTTTAAAGTTGGTGACAGACTGATCTGATTTTGGGAAAACTTTTCAAATGATTCTCTTAAATTTGTGTTCCTTATTACAAAACCTTTTTTTAAAAAAAAAAAAAACTGTGCCTTTCAAATATCAGGGCCACTGAATAGACATTTAAAATCGAAAAAAAATTGACATTCCCCAAATACATTCTAGTTGCTGACTACTTCCACAGTTTCAGCTGTGTCTCAACAAAGCAGAAGGTACACTCTTCTTGCAACTGGGCAGTTGATTTCAATGAGGAGTTATTGCATTTTCTGTGAAAACAATAAAATCATAGGGTTCAATCCCAAGCTATTTCTTTTCCTACAACATTTCCTTTGTGGCTAGCCCATTTAATTCATTTTCTTAGCATTATTTTTTAGAAAGGAATGTCTGTCCTTTTCTACTGTCTTAGAAGAAAAATCTTCTACAAAATGATTTGATTTTTTTTCAAATCTCATAGAAAAAGTTTGTTGTATATACATAGTATATCCTACATATAATTGTGTATGTTATTACATGAGCAAAGAAAAAATATAAAAGCTTGACATTATAATGTGAAATACGTCAGCCAGGAAAGTCTCTAGTGGGTTAATGTCTGTTTGGAAATAGAAGTGAGAGATTAAGATAAAGGTTCCACATATTTCTATATGACTTACTTTATGAGCTTATGGCAATTTGAAGATAAATAAGTCTATGAGTAGTGATTTCACTACTCTGATCCCATATTGAGAATCTCAAACTGAAATCCAAAATTTGGAATAGGGCTGAGGTTAAACTCTGGGTAGAAACTGCAATAGTTTTCTCAAGGATATATTTACAACTGATTGAATTTAATTTTCGATTGTACTAATTTTCCATGAGTTGATTTGAAATGTATTCTTATTTTTCAATAAAAAGTTGGGAAATTCTATGAGTAGGGCTAAGCTTGCTAGTTTTGCTTGCTTTCGTAAGGCTCTTCGTTGTTGCCCTGGGGTTCCAGGCTTTCCG